AGATGCCTTGATAAAGGGAGCCAGTACAGGTTTGGAGACAGGAAAAGGTTGGGGACACAGTGACAACCCCAACTAAAAATCTAGGCAGTGGTGGAGAGGCTGCCTTTGATGCCCTTCCCCTATAATGAGATTGATGACTACCTTGGTTACCATTCCCAGAGACTTGACCCAGTAGATGATCGAAGCAGAAACAGGCACCCACAGCTAAGCACTGAGGAGAGATGACAAAATGAACCAAAACGGAACTGGAAATACCTGAAGAAACAGTTGACCTGACCTAATGAGAGGACACAGACCCTAGTTGTAAAGCAGGGGAACCAGCATCGGACCAAACCAAGCCCTCTGAATGTGGGTACCATCTAGGAGGCATGGTTTATTACAAGGCCACAAATGGACTTGACGAGCCCATTCTCAATGGAGGGATACTATTGCAGCCCAGATACGGAAAGGAGTGCCTGGGCCCTCCCCCAAATGATGTGATGGAGTTTGATGATCTCCCGTCGAGGGTCTCACTATTCCTGGGGTGTGGGTGGTGGGTGGTTTGGCGGGTTGTTGGGAAGCATGGGAGGATAGGAGGGCGAGGGAATGGGGTGACAGATATGTAATTTTCCATAAAATAAAAAATATGGCAAAAGAGTATCTGTGTGGCAGTGGTGGTGGGGGATGTGTGCGGTGTGTGTGCATGTGAAGTGTATGTGGAAGTTGATTGATGCTGATGCAAACACACTTCAAGACCTAAGAAGAAGGGCTTCAATGATTAGGTCTTGTGGTTTGTTTATTTTACTTTTAAAAGCTAGAATATGACAGTTTAAAGTGACTGTCAAAGAACGTTTGGTTTTAGGTATAATTTGTAAATATTCTAGGTGAAAATGGTATTCTATTTTACTTCTTGAATGTAAAACATCTAAACAAAGCAATTCCCTCACCCGAATATCAAAACATTAAAATTAAAACTAAAAGAACAAAAATGAGCTAATGAATAAACATGAATTATTTAAAACAGGACTTAGTTACCTTAAACCAAATGATAATATACCCCTCATATTCAACATAAGAAATCAGGTAGCAACTATGAATTTATAAAGTGACTTATAGGCTTCATTTGAATTAACACATCTCAATCATTTATTGTTTAACAATAGCATTAGTTTTCAAAACCCATTTCAGAGAAATATGCTTTAAAATCCCATATTGTGAAAATGCTCAGCTCTGTGCTATACCCGAGGGAAGACTGAAGTAAAGTTGAAAACAGTTTGTACAGAAGCCTGGAACTTCAACTGAAAGGCCAAAATATGCTCTTGTTAGTAAGGAACCGAAGTGCCTCAGCAAAGAGAGGCTGCATCCATTCAACACTATTTTCCAATAGTGGTCACAGCTATGTCATGGCCCAGGCCGAGGTTAGGCTACACTAGGATTTTGAGTTATATTGGATTAGCATGTGAGGGAGAAAATGGTGAGATCATGTAACAGAGTGCAGAGGGAGACTGTGAAGATCAGCTAATAAACCAGCAGGGGATAGGCAGGAACATAATGTTTAGAAAACATAGTCATGTGAGTTGGGAAGGTGGCTCACCAGGGAAAGCTCATGCTCTCTAAACATGAGAAGAAGAGCTTAGAAACCCAGATCTACCAAGTGGTGGCTGTCTGTAATCTCTGCACTGGGGAAAGAGAAATGCAATCCCCAGGGCAAGCTGACTAGACAAGCTGGATCAATAAGCTGTGGGTTGTGCAAGGGAACCTGATCCAATAAATGAAGCAGAGAACAACCGAAGACACCCAGTGTGTACTTTAAGCCTAGACACACACACACACACACACACACATCCACACACACACACACATCCACACTCATGTGAGCATGCATACACACACACATATAAGTATATGTATGTATGCATGCATGCATCTATATATGTATACACACATACACATCCACACTCACGTGAGCGTGCATACACACATATAAGTGTATGTATGTATGTATGTATGTATGTATGTATATATGTACACACACACACATCACCTAATGTCTTTTTAAGTGTCTTGAGACACTGAGGTTTGGAAGCAAAAAGCTAAAAGAGCTGGCTTGGAAGAGATACTGATTTTAAAAGTAAAGTAGGAGAAGTTGTCCTGGCAACCCTGCCTGTCTCTTCTACTTAACATCAAACTTATCCTAGCATATCAGCTCATTTAGCCTTAAATCGTTAGCTAGAAACCAGTCATTATCTGTTCTGAGAGAAGTGAAGCCAAAATGAACATTGCAAACCTATTCTTTTAATCCCCTTTCAGTCTATATTCAACAGAAGTTATGATATGGCACTTACTGTGTTAATTTTGTTTTCAAATATAAACATCAGGGAGCTACCCCTAAAGTTTTGAAGTCCAAAGGTTAGAGTGGTCCTCACGTCAAGTAATTACAAGGCCTAGTTCTTTTAGCTCACCCCACACGCATACATGCATCTATTACTGTTTTGTAATAATTTTCTGAAGATGACTTAGGTGTATTACCTTAAGTATTATTATATTCACAAGTAAGGCATTTCAGATACCTTATGATCAAAGCTGAAGAAAGTTTTTTTAAAACAATCACAAAAACCCTTGTTCCAAATCTCGCCTACACAAAAAAAACCCCACATGTTTTTCACTTGTATTTTCTTCCAGACATTCAAGTGAATGCATGATTTGCAAATATTTATACTCAAAGCGGGGAGTGGGGGTTCAGTCTCTCATGTAGTATTCCTAATGGCTAGCTTTGTCTACATCAGATTGGGGTGGGGGGCAGAGCATCAGCCAGGCAGCTTTCCAGGAGACACACCTATATTTAGCCAAGGTGGTTTGTGTGGCAAGAGGGAGAGGACTTGGCCATGTGTGCTCTGACTCATCATCTCAAGCACACGTGTCAGTTTCAGGAACAGCTGGACAATCTCCTGCAGAGGACAGGGTCTGATTGTAGCTCTCCTGGGCGTCAGGACTCCACTTCCCCAAACTAAATTATAAATTAACAAGCTCCGGGAGCCATAGAGCCTTCAATAAATCAGATAAGTGATAACATCGGGGCTTGCTTTTGGCCTCACACACTGTTCCAGGATTTTCCTACTTGGAGCTGGAGCCTGAGTTCTGTGCTCTGCCTGATTCTTCCCAGGGCTGGGTAGCAATCTGCTGGGCACATTTAAACCAGGCTGCCTTCAAAGAGACTTCATTTTCCTGCTATCCTTATGTGAAGGTGTAGTTAGTATGCAATACTGTGACATGTAGGATTTCAGGTTATAGCTGGTCTAACACAATTTTTAGAATTACTTTTTGGAAGGTAATTCGAGAGAGACAGGAAAGAGAAGGGGAATTATGAATGTGAATTTTAATCATTTCTCTTCAAACAACAAGGTCAATGATCAGAGACAATTTAAGCTCCTGGGACCTCAGTTTCCTCCTCTGGGAATGTTACTGTGTTGTTTAGGATGCATCACCAATTTGAAGAATGTGAGTGGCACAGGGCCTCATCTAAATTGTCTAGTGGTACATGACCAATAGCTATGTGTCAGTGGCTAGGAGTCTGAACCGTTTTCTTTGTGGTTAAAATTACAGTGAAGACACTACTCTTGATACCATTAGTAAAGGTTCACAAGTACTTGCCTTCTTTCTGACAACCCTGTCAAAAACTTGCCCCTGACTTCCTATGTTCTAAAGAAACATTTCCTGAAGAACCCAAAGGAAACCATTGTTTATGTACCACACATGCTAAGAGTCTCAATTTTGTCATTTGTGAATTCCAGCTTCCAGGATGGCTTGCTTAGGAAATGGAAAATCAAGTTGCCATTAAAGCTATATTATTAATTAATGGGTGATAAACATATGGCTATAAGTACCCTCATTTACAAATTCACCAAAAAAAGTCACAGCCTGCATTTGAATTGTGTCTGTGACTGGATACAGCTTCTGGTGATGGAGGTAAGGAGTTTAATTGTTGGGCTAACTGGATCATCAGGGTCCATTGGGAACCTTTAGAAATGCAGTGCTATGGGCAAGTGATACACTTCTAATAGGAAGAATTAGAAAGACACTAATTACATGAGTGCCCTCACCTATTGTCAGGTCATAATGCCTGCCCTCTCTTTTTCAGGCTCATGAAGCTCACCTACATATTTGTAGACTCCTGCAAATACAGAAACTCTGTTAGTGGGATTATCTTGAAGCTCCCATAGGTGTTTGCTTTTTGATGGACTTTCCAGCATTACTGCTCCCAGCGATGGAGTACACAAAGGTCTGCTATTCTCACCAACAAAAGCACTTTTAAACTTAGAGATTAAAGCATCTCCTTTCTTGTCCTCATCATCATTACTCATGGTTATTCATATTTTAAGATTTGTTGTTAGGCCAGGCACACGCCTTTAATCCCAGCACTTGGGAGGCAGAGGCAGGCGGATCTCTGTGTGTTTGAGGCCAGCCTGGTCTACAGAGTGAGTTCTTGGACAGCCTCCAAAACAATACAGAGAAACCCTGTCTCAAAAAAAAAAGTTTTAATTATGAGACGCCTTTTCAGTGAATATACCATCATTTCCCAGATACAGTCTTGACAAGCTTGTAAACAATGAAAACTTCCAACATGAAAATTTACTTCACTGTTACTGTAATAATTGAATTATGCTTGTGTTTGTTTTATTACTTAGATATAGATGATCATGAAGTAAATGCTTCTACTCATTTAAACAGATTTTTTGTTTGTTTTTTGTTTTTTGTTTTTTTTTACAAAGGGAAGAAAATGGAACCTAAGGAAGGGACCCGAAATGAGAGCATAGAAAGAAAGCGCAGTGAATTTCTGCTATCAGAAGTTTTTTCTGTGTTCATGGTAGACTCACTTGCTAGCATGGGAAAATTATTGTCAAATAGTTCAAATTAATTCTCTAGGTGGCCAAAATTCACATAAATTGAAATTTCAATAAAACCTTTCCATATATGGCAGCCAGATACTAGGCTCAAGGAAAGAGAAAAGAAATTGGACTTACCCTGCAGGCCTTGTGTCTTCAATGGCTCTGTCTACTGGAATCAAGTCACTAAGGTAGACATTGAAGTTTCCTTCCTTCCATCTTCGTTCTGCCTCCTTCTTCTTTCCAGGGGGAACAACCACAGGGCGCCCAAACTGACCCGGGGCATTGGGATCCCTTGGAGAAAGGGTCAGGTCGATAGTCATCACACGGTGCCTTCCAGGGATTTCAGGGGTGTTTGTGTGACTTTGCTGGAGTCCCGCAGTCTGGGCCTGGGCAGTCAAATTGCTTCTTACTGGATGTAGTCCCCTGGCTGAGGCCAGTTTGGATTGAGACACTGCTCTCTGTGGACCTAGCAGAGAGGAAGATGTCCTGCTTTGATTCCTGGGGCTGTGTTTCCCTTGGCTTGCACCCAGTAATTTAGGAATGGCTGTTTGGGTCTTAGAGTCAAGCACCTGTTTGGTATTTCTCCCCAGGTCTTTGGTGATAACCACAATTTGGCTTTCAGAGAAGTTAAATTTCCTCCCTGGTGCCACTTTGGCCTCACCATCTTCTGGCAAGCCTCTCAACTGTGTCTCATTCACAGTCCGCCTCTTTAAATGACCTATATCAGCAACCAACTTAAAAAGAGGTAGCACTTTATGGGCTTTGTGTTTTAGTTCTTTGCTCTGAGCCTCGGTTTTCTTTATGGCTATGGCTTCCCCGTATTCCAGGATTGGTGAGCTGGCAAAGTGTGTCTTCGATTTTGTTACTGTCTGTGGTTGATGCTTTGAGGCGTCAGTCCTGACACTGACGGTCATATTCAGGGTCCTCTCAGATGTTTGCTTTAATGCATTACTGCTGAGAGTATGATTCTTTGGGCCCTCTTGGTTTTTACCAAAGATTTCTGTGTGTACTGATATTTTGGTCAGTGGAACTCCTCTTGATGCTGTGGATGGGTTCCTCTGTGATAAAACTGCTGTTCGCTTGAGTGTCGTATGCTGGGAGGAGGCTTCAGGCTTGCTGTCTCTCCCCTCGGTCTTCTGCGTGGTAAGAGGCACTGGGAAGGTTTGCAGACGCGCAGGGTGCCACAAAGGCACAGCTTTCCCCCTTCCCAGGGAGATCTGCATTTTTCCTCTCCTCTGGGCTTGGTCCATATTCTCTTCATCCTTGAGTGTTTGGTCCTCTACTTTTCTAAAGTTCTCCTTGCCCCACACCCGGTTCTGGGGCAGCCTCATCCCCGTGATGCTGGAGTGAAGGATCTTCATTCTGTCTGGCTGGACTTTGAATCCTGTCTGCTCCCTCCTCCTGACGTCTTCTTTGAGTATCCCAGTGCTGATCTCACTGAATGAGAGGCGGAGAGCTGCCATGTCAAAGAGCAGCCAGATGACAGAAGCTACAAATATAAATGCCAAGGCGCGCCCATTTCCTCGGAAAAACTTTCGGATCTTGTTCATTGTACAAAGGCTTGCCTTGCAGCTTGCCCTCCGAGTCTGCTTACCTGAAGTGGAGAGAGAGTTGAGACGCAGCAGCAGCAGCAGCAGCAGCAGGAGCCAGGCCCCTGCTCTCCTTAACCTAGCAGGAAACAGTTGTCCAAGGGGGAAAAAGCTCAGTTCCTACTGACTGCCTGTCACTCTCTGCCTGCGTGGCATTTCACGGCAAAGCATCTATGCCTGCTCACTGGCCCTGGATAAACCCCAGTGAACACTGGCCCCGGGTGCCTCCCAGAGCAGTCAGCTGGAACCACAGGACAGTTCACCGCATCTTGTCTTGGAGGGCCATGTCCACCTTCCTTCAAGTCCAAGAAAAGGTGGGGCTAGGGTGGTACAGCCTGCTGCCGCTTCTCTCCTCGCAGTTCCCTGCATGCTGTAACTCAACACCACTTCTCAGAAGGAAAACATTTCAAGCCATTACCCAGAGAACTTCATTCAGCTCTCACCTTCTGTGCTGGATGAGAGAGTGTGTGTTTTAAGGGCAATTAAACAGAAACTAACTTAGAAGGCATGTGTTCCTGGTTTGTAACCCCACCTACCCTCCTCCTACTCATTAACCCTGTGGTACCCAGAGCTCTGCTGGATCAATTCTTAACCTTAATGTTTCAGCTCCAAGAGGTTAATGGCTTAAAGAAGGGGCATCTTACGGCTTCGTTGCAAGAGAGGGGTAGTTCAGCTCTTCAGAATGTTTCTACAAACACATGAACAGGAACAGAAATATTTCTTTGTAGGTCAGCTACTCTTTTTACACTAGTCCATCAGGCTTTTTTTGTTGTTGTTGTTTGTTTGCATTCTTAGACTTAATAGACTGACACAATTTGTCATATTCCTGTAGAATATTAAAGACACTTTGCTGTGATGTGAATGTCTGTGTCTCCACCCAACGCAATGTGGAAACCCCAATTGCCATTGGGGCAATATTAGCATGTAAAGTCTTTTGAAGGTGCTGAGATAAGGAAGAAGGGGCCCTCACACATTAGATTTGTGTCCTTATAAAAGAGCCAGTGAGATGCTTTGCCCCCTCCACCAAGTGAGGGCACCACAAGAAGGAATCTTGAAGGAACCAAGTGACAAAACCTTACTAGACACCAAGTCTGCTGTTCATGGACTTCCCAGCCTCCAGAACTGTGAGCAATTAACTGATTTTGATAATAGATCACTTAGTATATGGTATTTTTTATAGAAACTTAAAGGGATTATGGTACTCACAAATCAGTATTTACAAAGTCATGGACCAGTAAATAGCTTGAAAATTGTGCCAAGACTTTGACTAGACTCTGAGTGACCCTGAGAAATGGAAAGGCCAGTCATTTCCACATAGATTTAACCTCAAAACCACAGAGCAGTCCTCTTCTATCAGTTGTTTATCTTATTGCTGTCATCTGACAAAAGCCACTTAAGGAAAGAAGGGCTTATTTTGGCTCGCAGTTGGTGGGTGCAGTCCATCATGGTGGGGAAGCCATGCCACAGGAGACCAAATCGCAATGTATCATCTGTAGTCAGGAAGCAGAGAGAAAGACCAATGGTGGGATTATCTTGCTTTTTTGTTTTGACAACCCAGTATATCAGATTATAGAATGGTAACACATATATTTAGGGTGGGTTTTCCCTCTTTAGTTATCCCAGTCTAAAAAAATTCCTCAGAGACATGCTTTGTCTCTTAGATATGTAGTTAAATGTTGTAGAGAGTTTTTTATCAGACTCAGGGCTTCTTAAATTCTGCACCAAAGAACATTTTATGTGAGTCTGGGAATATAAACTAAATCCATATATTTGAAATGAATTATGTAATTTAATCACTTACTAAAGACAAAAGCAAATTTGTCTACTAGTATGGCAGGCGTACTTCTTTTAATTTAAAGAGTCAAATATGTAGAAAGTCGTCAGCATTTTCAGAGCTAATAAATATTTTGGCTTCATAATTGTCAATGCTAATATAGAATGTTAAATGGTAGAAATGTGTGTGTGCTGTTTATTTTTTTTTTATCAAACCAACAGCCTCCTGAACATTTTACTTAACAGTGGCTGGTATGCCAATGCACATGATATAGTTTTCAGCTAGTAGTTAGGAGACAGAAATGCTCAGATACATATTCATTTTGTTCTTTACAACCCTGAATATCATTTATGTGATAATTTACATGAGAAATATCTTGATGTCTATATCACAAATTCCATAAAAACCATTATTTACAATAGTCATAATAAAAAATACTGTTAAGCAAGTTTAGAAATACAGTACATAATATGAGCTTTGTAAACCTTACGATGCTTATTATGTACTATATATACATATATAAGGACTAATAATCACCAATAGCATACGTGTATCTGTAAATTTTAAAAATGCACAGGATAGCCAGCTGTTGGTGGCACATGCCTTTAATCCCAGCACTAGGGAGGCAGAGACAAGTGGATATCTATGAGTTTGAGGCCAGCATGGTCTACAGAGCGAGTTCTAGGACAGTCTCCAAAACATACAGAGAAACCCTGTCTCAAAAAAACAAAAAGAATGCAAAGAATAGATGTATTTTCTAGTATCATTTTCCTTGTAAAATTGTAATAAATCTTTTAACCTGGAATTTTCCCCATAATAATATTTTGATACTTCTTTTTTATACAAAAGAACATAATATAATTACATCATTTCCCTTCTCTTATACTGCTACTTGCTTCATCAAATTCATGCTTCTTTTTTCATTAAATTTGTCATACGCATCTATGTATGTATATACGTATATATTCCTAAATATAATTTTCTCAATCTGTATAATGTTACTTGTATGCATGTTTTCAGGGCTTACCATTTGGTATTAGTTAACCAATTGTTGTGTTCTTCCCTGGGGTCTCAGTGTTTCTTAGATGCCTGTAATTATTTGCATAGGGTTGCAGCCTTATGGTCTTTTCCCCATTCATCTTATCATGTCTATTGTTGTCTTTATTCATCTCATGTTTGGGAAGTCCTGTTGGTGAGACTTATTGGTGTAGTTTCTGATATCACTTGGAAACACAATTTCACAGCAAACTCCCTGAGTTTAAAGGCTGTTACAATCTTTTCTCTTCCCACCTTCTGTAATATTCCCTGAGTGGGAGTTGTTTTGTAGATGTATCTATTGGGACTATGCTGCCAACTCTGAATTTTGGTTGGTTAATGTTTTCCATCTGTTGCATTGAGAAGTTTCTCTGATAAGAGTTGAGGATTATACTTAACTGTGGGTATAATGACAAATATTTGGACTATAGTTACAGATCATGGTGGTTAATAAAGTGATAGTTGTCCATTTTATTCCAAGACCCATGGCTTCACTAACCCTGGGTAGTTGGGTGGTTTGCAGTATCAGACATGATTTCCTTCTTATTGAGGTCAACAATTGACAAGTGGGACTTCATAAACTTTGAAAGCTTCTGCACAGCTAAAGAAACAATCAGCTGGGTAAAAGAAGTCCACAGAATAGGAGAGACTCTTTCCCGGGTATACATCTGAGCTTTGTCATATTAATATCCAGAGTATATAACAAACTTAAAAAAATGGACCTGGGTCCTGAACAGAATGCTCAAAAGAAGAAAAAAAATGACTAAGAAACATCTGAAAAATTCCCAGTATTCCTAGAAATTAGGGAAATGCAAATCAAAACAACTTTGAGATTTCATTTTACCCCAGCCACCATGGCAAAGATCAACAAAACAGGCAACAAATTCTGGAAGGGATGTGAGAAAAGGAGAACTTTCATTCACTGTTCGTAGGATTAATAATTGGTATAATCACTATGGAAATAAGTGTGGATAATCCTCAAAAAAGATAAAAATCAATCTACTATACAATCTAGCTATTCCATACCTCAACATACTATTCCACAGATACTTGGTCAGCCATACATGTTGCTGCTCTATTCCTGATAGCTAAGAAATGGAAACAACCTAAATGTCCTTCAGCAAATGAATAGATTATGAAACTATGGCATATACACACTATGGACTACTATTCAGCTGTACAGAAAAATGAAATCATTACCTGTGTAGGAATGAAATCATTACCTGTGTAGGAATGAATGGAACTAGAAAAGATCATATTGAGTGAGGCAAAGTAGACCAAGAAAGACCAATGCCATATGTTCTTTCTTCAAAGAAACATCTTCACAAAGACTTCCCTGCCCACAGTGGTCTGGTCGAACCCATTTTAATCATTAACCAATAAAGTGCCCCACAGGCTTGTCTACAGACCATCGTCTCAATTAAAGTTCCCTCCTCTCAGATGACTTTACCTTAAGTCGGTTGACAAAAATGTAACCAGCACACCCTGTAAGACGAAAGATGCAGGTGGAAGTAGAAATGAAGCTGAGAGGCAAAGATAAGAGGTTGGTGTTCAGTTTGTAGTTTTTCATTATGTGCATTTGTTTACGTGATTACACAGGGGCAGAGGTATTGGACTTTTCTGTTGTTTTCTTTCACCCTTGGAAGGTGAAGGAGATTTATTCAGAGCTTGGCACATATGACAAAGAGTGTGCACACTGCTCTGACTAAGTCAAGCAATCTAAGTAGAAATCTAAAGTACTCACCTTACTTTACACAACCCAGTATATCAGATTATAGAATGGTAACACATATATTTAGGGTGGGTTTTCCCTCTTTAGTTATCCCAGTCTAAAAAAATTCCTCAGAGACATGCTTTGTCTCTTAGATATGTAGTTAAATGTTGTAGAGAGTTTTTTATCAGACTCAGGGCTTCTTAAATTCTGCACCAAAGAACATTTTATGTGAGTCTGGGAATATAAACTAAATCCATATATTTGAAATGAATTATGTAATTTAATCACTTACTAAAGACAAAAGCAAATTTGTCTACTAGTATGGCAGGCGTACTTCTTTTAATTTAAAGAGTCAAATATGTAGAAAGTCGTCAGCATTTTCAGAGCTAATAAATATTTTGGCTTCATAATTGTCAATGCTAATATAGAATGTTAAATGGTAGAAATGTGTGTGTGCTGTTTATTTTTTTTTTATCAAACCAACAGCCTCCTGAACATTTTACTTAACAGTGGCTGGTATGCCAATGCACATGATATAGTTTTCAGCTAGTAGTTAGGAGACAGAAATGCTCAGATACATATTCATTTTGTTCTTTACAACCCTGAATATCATTTATGTGATAATTTACATGAGAAATATCTTGATGTCTATATCACAAATTCCATAAAAACCATTATTTACAATAGTCATAATAAAAAATACTGTTAAGCAAGTTTAGAAATACAGTACATAATATGAGCTTTGTAAACCTTACGATGCTTATTATGTACTATATATACATATATAAGGACTAATAATCACCAATAGCATACGTGTATCTGTAAATTTTAAAAATGCACAGGATAGCCAGCTGTTGGTGGCACATGCCTTTAATCCCAGCACTAGGGAGGCAGAGACAAGTGGATATCTATGAGTTTGAGGCCAGCATGGTCTACAGAGCGAGTTCTAGGACAGTCTCCAAAACATACA